TAGGATTTCGCTCTTAGTGGTTATCTATGCGTGGCTATATGAAAGGATTTCATGAGAGAAGGCGTACCAGTGCATTCAGAGGCAGTGATAAACTAACCTTTGTTGACATCCGAATGATATTCAAGTCACTTAGTCAGAGCTTGATACCATGTAATGGATCTTCTTGTCCTCTAGTTTTTATCATCCTACTTCGGTCAATTAGTGTTGAACATCGACTTACGTAGTTGTCAAACATACGCAGCACATATCTTAATCACTACCAGTCAACAAAAATCTTATAGTCTCATCATTCAACTTATCCTGTTATTGTAAGTTTATTCAGCTCCGGTGTACACAATCTCAATGCTTTGAAAGAGAGCTCTTAATTGATTACACTTTGGTTTTTGTAAATAAGTCTTCTATTTTCATAGATAAACCAAGTTCTCAATCACTAGTTGTTTGGATTCAATTTTATTGTGTTCGAACTTAGCTTCTCTCTCTCTCCCTCCTTCTCTCTACAACAAGATATTTTCAATGTGAAACCCAAATGTAGTACTGTAACTATAAAAAACGATTGTTATCAACTTCCTATTACTACTACTACTACTACTACTACTACTACAAGTACAACTACAACTCAAATGAATACAGATTGTCTGAATCCAGTACAAATCACTACAACACCTCCGCGTACTTGTTGTACTATAAAACCATTTCTACACAATGATTATCAACCTATAACAAGTGTGAACACAATCGACTCATATCCAAGATCGACTCCACGACGTAGAACGTACAAATCTAAAGATATTGATGGTAATTATTGTGCGGCCATTAATATTACTACTACTAATACTAATACTACTACTACTACTACCAGTACTACTACAAATCGTCGTCGAACTCGACATTCGTCTGGATTTGTCCAATCGAATACACGTGAAACGATTGTTTCACCTCAAATATTTGATGAAGAAGCAATGTTTCTTGGACGAGAAGAATTTCTTCATGAAACTACTCCGAATATGTCAAGCACAACTGAACATAATGCTGATGATGATGATGACGGGGCTGAATTTGGCGCGTTATTAATGTCAAGGTTAGTTGGTTGGTTGGTTGGTTGTTCCACAATTATTCTAAGAAAAACCTTTTTTTAAAAATGCCTATTTTTTCTGCGTAGACATTTACACAGTTGCCTGTTTTCAGCTGATCAGTGACTTACTCCGAATGGTCCTCAAAGTTCTTGTAAAAATAAGTTGTCACTGGTAAAATTTAGTTATGCGTCAAGAGGTGGGACCAGTTGTCATCAATGACATTAGATATTCTTCCTAGTTATTCAGTCAGCTACAACGTAGAACTTTGCACGTACGTACGTACATCAGTTCAAGTTGCCATACCAAATTAACAGACAGAGATCGAATTGTCAATTTCAATCCCATAGTAGTAGATGTAGTCTTGCCGTTCTCCAATCGACCTGCCTGGCATGGTAGAACCCAAAGAAACATATGTTTCCTTCCAATATACATCGATTGGGTCATCACGATAGGCAAGACCGACCACCACGCTAAGGTATCAGCTACAGTCAGGAGATATTCTTCGTACAGTATCACAATATAATTAAAGATGAAATTATGTCGATAGAAGCTCTAACCTATTGATCCTAACGGTTTAACATTTCCCTTACAAAATTTGAGAGTGTTCTATCAGACATCATCCCTGGTGGACTCACGAGTGTACACACTCCTATGGAAACCTTATATCAAAATCAAATAACCGTCCATCTCTTTAAAGTCTCTGCATTCAGATTTAGACTGGCCAATTCATGAAGTCACTCACAAGTAGACTGAGCCACTTTGGTAGGTGTGGTCTACTTGTTTGGGGTCCTCGAGACGATAGTAGTTGATGGTTAAGAACCTTGAATGACATGATTCAAAATGGTTTACAATGGCACAGGTGCATCTATTCATTGTGTTCTCTCAAATTCTAGTCTCCTGAATTCCTCACTTCTTTTTTGAAGTTAAATTGTTCATTTCGAACTAATCAATCAATTGAATTCAAAGTAATTAATTTTAAAATTTATCAGTTAGTCACTTAGAACGTAGAACTTCGTACGTAAGTACATCAGCTCATGTTGCCATACCACATCAGCACAGAGACGCAACTGTCAGTTCAAGTTCAATAGTGGTAGCGATAATAGAAGTATTAGTTGTGATGGAGAAGATTCAGGATCTAAGATATGATTCGAGAAGTATAATTCAGTGAAATAAATTCAAAAGGAGGAAGATAAAGGCGATGAGGAATTCAGAATGTCAGAATTTGAGAGAACGCTAACAGTGGATGCACCTATGTCATTGCAAACGTTTTTGAGCCACGTCGTTCAAGGTCTCTCATCGTTGGTGACATACGTCTCGCGGACCCCAACTAGGTAGCCTACACCTACCAACATGACTCAGTCCGCTTGTCAATGACTTCATGGATTTCTGCTATGTTTTCGTTCGGCCGCCCCTAAATTTCTTCCAACTTACTCCTACACACAATACATAGCCCTTCGCGGCAGTCAGTGGTTAGGCATTCTTGACATATGTCCCAACTACCTCAACTGATGAAGTTTCACATGTGTTAAGTATGTGATAAAATAGTAAACTCAAAATCAAATTATTTGAAGAATTTTGTTTAACTTCAAAAGTTTCTCATTTAAATAATATAAATTCGTGACTCAGTTTTGTTTTTTAAAAAAACACAACAAACTAAAGCACTGTACAAATCCATGAAGTGACTGATAAGTGAACTGAGCCATGTTGGCAGCTGTAGACTGCCTGATTGCGGTCCGCGAGACTATAGTAATTGGTGGTTAGAGGCCTTCAATTAAATGGCTCATAATCGTTTGCGATTGCGCAAGTGCATCTATTCTTTGTGTTCTCTCAATTTCTAATCTTCTGAATTTGTTCATCACCTGTATCTTTCTCTTTGTAAATTTATTTAACCGGGTTATTTATACTTATCGAATCATATCTTTGATTCTTAATCTTTCCGATTTCACTTCTCTCTGTTACCATCATTTCCGAGCATAGCTGCTACCTTGATGCGGCGGTCAGGCTTGCCTATCGTGTTGACCCAACCGAGCTATATTGGCGCGAACATTTGTTCCTGAAGGTTCCACCATGCCAGGCAGGTCGATCGGCGAACGGTGAAGCTAAAAGCAGCAACTTGAGGTCCCAGGGCGAAGTTGTACTGCTGACTGACTGTAGATGGGTGTGACGGCATTAATGTGTTTCCTTCGGATAACCAGCATCTGCAGCGATGCTGCCTTCTCACTATGAAAGAAAGTGTTAGAAAAATGTTACAATTCACCATACCTCACGGATTTCCGTCTCCGGCGGTAATGGTGCCCACTAAGGGCTTTTAAGAACGGAGCTAATCCTTAAAATACCTTTCATAAAAAGGCCGTGCGTGACCGGCCTCAAGCAGTTGTCCCTTGGGCTCTGCGATCACGCACCCAGGTCTCCAAGACCAACACTAATCTACCTTCCTTTTCAGGTCCCTCAAGAAACAACCTTCCACGGTGTGAGCAGCCGGGAAGTGATAACCGCCCTCATACCCGTAACAGCACACGAGACCAAATTGGTCAAAATCAAATCCTTCTTACACCTCCTAGTACCTCTTTTATCTCTACAACTAACTCTTTTCACATTCCTTTATCACAGTGCACAGCTTATGCAAACGATGCGAGTTCACGAAACGTCGTTCTAGGTCTCCTTAAACCCCGTTCTAGACCATCATCATTAGGCAACTTGATCTGATGTACGTACGTACGCATTTATGTACAAAGTTGTACGTTGTAACTGACTGACATTTTTATTTTTTCTGTTATGTGTTATGATAATATTTATTATTATGATCGATATTGTTTGATTTCTGCAATCTTCTATTTCATATCTATCAGGAAACGTAGAAAAATCTCACCGATTTGTTCACCAATCCAAGCGCCTATATTCCGGCTGAATACAACAACTGTCGTTACAACGGCGACAGCAACACCCACTACCATGAGTATTCAACAAGAATCGATTGGTGATTCACAGAATTTCATTGGAAATCATACACCGAATTCATTGAGCAATAATGGTGGTGGCAATCATCATTTCACAACAGATTATTTAATAAATGCGCCGAAACGCCATAGTAATTATATGTCGAATGATTTTGTCAATAATGCGGTTGTCAATAGTAATAGTAGTGATTATGGGACATGGGATACTGTTCCTACTAACAATATTAGTAGTAATAGTAGTATTGTTCACAATGATCCAAAAAATGCTGTCATGATCGAGAATGCTAAACCATTTGTACATGCCACTACCACTACAACCACTACGATCTATCCATTAATTAAACCTGTTCAATCACCATTTGCTCCATTGCATGTATTCAGTCGACCATCGGTGGCAGTGAAGTAAGTGTTGTGTGGGTGTGTTCTTTTTTGCGTTGTGTCCATATGTGATTTTGTTTTTTTCTAGTGACAATTGTTTATGTAGACTAAGTAAAAATGAATTTTTTGGGGAGATCTAATTTACGTATGCTCAACCACTGAGTGCCTCGACGAGCAACCTTATGTTGGAAGAAAGCTCTAGGGGTGGGTAGACCAAAACATGGCAGAAATCTATGAAGTCACTCACAAGTAGACTGAGCCATGTTGGTTGATGTGGACTACCTGGTTGGGGTCCGCGAGACGAAAGTCACCAATGGTTAGAAACCTTGAATGACATGGCTCAAAACCGTTTGCAATGGTGCATGTACATCCACTCGTGTTCTGTCAAATTCTAGTCTCCTGAATTCCTCACTTCTTTTTTGAAGTTTATTTTACTGGATTTTACTTGCCTCGACAGACGATGTTTTATATGGTGTAGGAGTAGGTTGGAACAAGGTTAAGGGCAACCAAATGAAAACATGGCACAAATCTATGGAGTCACTGACAAGTGGACTGAGTCATGTTGGTAAATGTGGACTATTTGGACTATTTGAATGACGTGGCTCAAAATCGTTCGCAATGGCGCCGGTGCATTTATGCTTTGTGTTCTCTCAAATCCTAATCTTCTGCATTCTTCAACCCCTCTTTTTTTGACTTTCTAAACTTTTCTCACTGAATCATACTTCTTGAATAATATCTTCTAATCCTAACCTCTTCGATTACTTCTAATACGTTTACTACCTCTTCTACTATTGGATTTGAATTGACAATTACATCTCTGTGCTAATGTGGTATGGCAACATGAACTGATGTACTTACGTACAAAATTCTACGTTGCATCTGACTGACTGACTGGAACTGTATATCCGAATAATTCTTGATCTAACTATAAACTCTGTTGCAGAAATAAACTCCATGAATAAATATAAAACTAACAGAGAATGAGATAAATACATTTATATTCAAATATAAAAGTGAAAAAAGTACTGAATAACATGACACTGATTCTCACGTACATGATAAACAAAAGTTTACAATTTTGTAGAATAAAACCGATGCAATACTTTGCAAACATTCGATAGAGCATAATAAGTGTTATGATTAGACAGTATCCCAGATCTGGACGTGATATGTGTGAAACCCCCTTGAAACTGACTACTTCAAGAGGAGGGCAAGAATGGAAGAGAAAGTTTATTTGTGATGGAGTTCCGTTCTGTGTATATTACCTGGTTAGGGTCTGCGAGATAATAGTAATCAATGGTTAGAAGAGAGCTTGAATGACATGACTTAAAATCATTTTCAATGAAGTAGGTGCATCCACTCTTTGTATCGTCTTAAATCCTAATCTCCTGAATTCTCTGCGTGCTAATGTGTTATGACAACTTGTACTTATGTACGTACGTACGAACTTGTACGTTGTAGCTGACTGACTGAAGTTTCGTTCTCCAAACTGGATGTTTTGATTGTGAAGCTTTGATTGTTCTTCTGAACAATGTTGTTGAGAAGAACGAAACTCCATCACAATTATCTATCTACCTGGGATCTAATTTAACCACGTACGTTTGCCCAACCACCGACTGCTTCGACCAACGATGTTTTGTGGTGTAGGAATAGTTTGAACGAAAGCTAGGGGCAGCCAAACCAAAACATGGTATCACTGACAAGTAGACTGAGTCATGATGGTAGATGTAGACTACCTGGTTGGGGTCCGCGAGACAATAAAAACCGATGGATAGAGACCTTGAATGACGTGACTGAAAATGGTTTGCAATGGCACAAGTGCATCCGTTCATTGTGTTCTCCCAAATCCTAATCATCTGTGCTCCTTATCACCTCTGTCTTTCTCTTTCTAACGTTATCTCACTGAATTATACTTCTTGAATAATTTCTTCATACCCTAATCTTCTCCATTACCGCTAATACTTCTACTATATCTACCACTATGGGATTTGAATTGACAATTGCATCTCTGTACTAATGTGGTATGGTATGTTGTTTAGAAGAACAAGAAGAAGCTCCACAACCAAAACATCCAGCTCAGCGAATAAAACTCCATCACAATCACCTCTTAGTTACAAATTTTCTCTACCATCTCAAAGTCTGCTTGACTAGTTTCAATCCGTTTCTTCACTAATAAATGATATGTATTCGTCCTTGAGGACATTTCTCATAGGTCATCGAAAATGACCTTATTGTGTTCACTTCTGATTGGCTTACTCTGCCTCTCTGAATAAAGTCCCCTTATAAAAGAGAAATAACTTTTGTGATTTTTATCATTTCGTTTTTTGAATTCTTATTTGTATTCTTATCATTTTCATTCTAGTGATATTCTAGATGCTACAACTACAGCAAGTAATAGTCAAAGTAATTCCATTTGTATTGCATTACATAAAAAATTATTCGGTGGAATCGATAATGATCATGATAGTGACAGTGTTGCTGATAATTTAGAAAATATTCATCCAAACCAGTTGAATTCGCCGCCATCCTCTGCGCCAATATTCAAACAAAATCAATCCGCATTTTGTGATCCTGATTCACGTCATTTATGGGATGAGAATTCACTGGATATCACTTTATCACCGATATTGCGACAATTACACTGGAATGCACAAACATCTGTTGAACTGACAACCACGACCTCGAGCACGACTACGGCGGCGGCGACAACAACAATGAAAAACATTGAGTCAAACTATTTTTCTTGCAGACATTTAACAAATCCTAATTTGACCATAACTTCTCCTATACCACAGACAACTACATCGTCGACATTGTCTTTAATGAAGCCAAAATTAACAATGACAACAACACTCCGTAATCCATCACCTCGTAATGTTCTACGGCCTAGACGTAATTTATTCCAGTAATTATTCGTTTATATAAATCCCATTCTTTTTTTATTTGATTTTATTTCTCAATATTCAATATATATTTTCTTCGATTGTGCACACGCGAATGTGTGTGTGTGTGTTTAAGTGAGTATCATGCAATGCACCGCCATATTTTAAACTTCCCGCGCCTCGTGAGCGCTTTGTTTAAATGTGATCGTGTAAATTTTTGAAAAAAAATTGAAATTTTATTATTAACCTTTTTTTAAAAAGAAAACGAACATCTGATGTGAATATTTCTCGTTTTTTTTCAAACCTTTGAACAAAAATAAAAACCAAAACTGTATTTAATGTAAATTTATGTTAAAATATTGTGAATAAATTGTAAGTAGTATATATTTATTTATACGTGTATATAAACTATTTTCAATGAATCTTGAACACTTTTCATTTTTTCTTTGCTTAAACAATTGATTCTCTATGCAGTATTCTGTTTTCCGCATTGATGTGGTCAGTGCCCCTCTCCAAATGCCCTGGTACGGTCGATAGTAGGGAGAGTCAGTTATCCCTGTCCAAATCCCCTCATATGACCATGCGTGCATGGCGACTGTCGGGAAAGTTCTGCCCACTGCCTTCTCGTTGTAAAGATGTTGTTTACGAAATTGAAAAGACGAATATCTAACGCTCATGTCAGGTTAATGGGTACTAAGGATCTATCTAGGCGATTCGAACCAAATGGTACACATTAGCCTGAGGGAACGAATGGCGTATGAAACTCGTGTTAGTGATCAGCTGCCATGATATTGCATCTCCTAACGTTAGTTGACTGTCTTTTAGATGGAAGGCTTGGAGAGTAGCCGCGTAACTAAACCACTTTCTTTGTATTAGGCTGTCGGGAAGTATCGCAGCCTACACTAAAATTCAGTAATTTGTGTGTGAGCTTACTAATATTTGTATCAATGTTGTGGACGTTAGATTCCCTGGAACTCACGTGAAAAGTTCCTAATTTTGGGTTTTTTATGTTTTCGCGCATAAGCTGCTTAGTTGTCCTTCAGCTTACATTTCCCACTTGGAAAATCCTTGACTGTCATTGGTTGATGAATTATTTCAGTACGCCATTTTTGTGACTCTCTGAAGGACGTTTCTGTCATGTATAAATACACTCGCTTTGTGTCCTTCTCTACTTCGTATTTTCTGGTTGCTTGTAGAATACACTTTCTACGTCTTATCAAGACTTCATGATATAGTTACCCGGGCCGGGGACAAACGGGTTAGAATAGCCTATTGTGTCACTGAGTCATTGCTTCCGTCGTTTACCGAGTAAGGTGAATTGTTGAATAATGTGTTGGCTAACTCTTATTAAGCGTTCGCGTGCCCTAACCTAACGTCTTTGGTTTGATTCCAGCTTGTGGAGTCGTAGATACGTATTGCTGATGAGTCCCATATTGTGAAACAAAAGCGCCGTTTAATGCTCCCAAGTTTTCAATGACGGTCAAACATTAATCAGTTCTTGATTTTAATCAGACTCAAGTCAGCACAACCGTCAATAAAAATAATGATCCAGTTCATTTTTGTGGTTATTTTAGAATGAATATACCTATTCGGCATAGGCAACTATAAATTGTTAATCCCCTGCATCCTGGCTACTCTCTTATCTCTGACATGCTCATTACCATTCATACTCCTTGTTACTCACTCATTATCCTCTGCACATGAAACTGAAAATGTAGGCCTAAGGAAATACATCTCCAATGTGATTACACTAACGTTTAGTTATCTCGCTGAATGATTTTGATATTTTTAAGAAGGTCACTTAGATGAGATTTTTGACATTGCAACTTAACAAAAAGATTGTTGTACAGTCATTGCTGAAGCCAAATTTTAATAACTATTTTGTAATAAGTTACTAAGTTTTTGTTATCTAATTCACATCATTAGTTATAAAAATTAGATGGACTGTTAATCACTATTGATGAAAATGACCTTGTTGTAATGCTTCTTATATAATTCCCAGCTAAATCCTGTTGCTTAGTATTCTCTGACGACAATACACTGGACAAGTTCCAGAGAAATCAAAACACGGTTGAGCAGGAAAAGTCTATGTTCCAAGTAGCAAGGTTAAATAGAAATAAGACCCGAAGGCAAAAATAGATACAACGTTATTCTATTTATAGCATTTACATGAGAAACTTCTGGATAGAAATTCACGTGATCGAATGGATTAGATTTAACCAATCAGCACGCAGCTAACAGTACGAGAATTTTTTATCCTGTTCTCCAAGAGTCAATCAGGCGCTGATTGGATAGGAAATTAGCCAATCAGCGCGCAGCAACGTAGTCATGCTTTAATTCATCTATGTCCCACTAACAGATCTACAGTTTCGAAATGCAATTTTGCCTGCTCATATCATAGAACAAGTATACAAGACAATTCTCTGCATATTTCAATTTACGAGTACAAAGCATTGAAGTTATGCATATGATATGATTGTATAAGGATCGTATGACAAGACTGCAAATCTTTCTCTGTTGCGATAGTTTGCATACGACGGTTCTTATATGAACTCTTACTTACTCTCCCAATGGAGCGTAGGCCACTGACCAGCATTCTCCAACCTACTCTGTCCTGGGCCTTCCTTTCTAGTTCTGTCCAGCTGTTGTTTATTCTTTTCATTTCTGTCTCGATTTCTTGGCGTAATGTCTCTTTGGCCTTGAGTATTCCATGTGAGGGCTTGTCTTGTGACGCAGTTGGGTGCTTTCCTCAATGTGTATCCTATCCACTTCGAGTGCTTCTTCGTGATTTATTCCTCTCCTGGAATCTGGTTTATTCTCTCCCACAGTATGTTGTTGCTGATATTGTCTGGCCAGCCTAGACAACTGTTAACGAACACTTGCTTTCGTGGTTCTTCAAGTTTCTTCTCCATACAGTAGAACTGTCTTCATATTCGTATTAAAAATTCTGACTTTAGTGTATGCCGATAGTCGTTTCGAGTTCTAGATATTATTCAATAGTAGAAATGCTGTCCTTGCTTTCCCGAACCGTGCCTTCACATCTGCATTAGACCCACTTTGCTCGTCAATGATACTGCTCAGGTATGTAAAGGACTTTACATCCTCCAGAGCTTCTCCATCGAATGTGATTTGGTTGGCGCATGTTGCGTTGTATCGGAGAATCTTGCTTTTCCCTTTGTGTACGACGAAACTTGCTGCTACACTGGTCGTCTTCTCTTGCGTGTGCGATAGAAGAACTAGATCGTTTGCGACGTCTAAATCGTCCATCAGCACCCTATTTGTAGACTTTACCCCGTACTTCCCTCCAGATGTTGACGTCTCCATAATCCAATAGACCATCAGTAGAAAGGATGAGAGTAAGCACTCTTGTCTTACACCGGTTTTCACTGGGAACGATTCTTTGAGCTGTCCTCCATACACGATTTCGCAGTTTAATCCATCATAAGAATTCCGTATCATGTTGAATATCTTCTCAGGCACGTTGTAGTTTCGAAGAAGCCTCCATAGTGTCATCCTGTCCACGCTGTCGGATTATGACAGGTTTTGTGTCTACAAAGTTATTGCCTTTTTCTTCAAGTTGTATTGAAATCTTGATCATAGTATCACCTCACCATATCCCTTATTTCACTCTTGTTCATTTAGTCTGAAAGTAATGTTAATAATAATTAACATCCATCGTGAAATCACTGACAAATGATGAGTATTGAATAGTTTAAAGCTATTCAACTGGACACAGTTAAAACCCCTACACGCAGCTGTTACCTAAAGATAGTTTCTTTGTTTAAATTAACATCGTTATGCGGAATTATTGATCTCGAAGCAAAAGTCTTGTGATTTCAATAATTTGTGTTTTTCCACTGTGATTTGCTGTTCTACCATCATCAATCTCCTCCAAATCTATTTTGAAGAAGCTCGTCAATCTTTTAAACTATTTACTTTTTGTATTACTAAGTACTATCATTGAAAAGATTGAATTTCTAGACCAATCAGAAATCGACTAAACATTAAGCGCACCGTGATTGGCTAAAATATGACTCCTATTTCTAAGGATTGAGAGATATGTCATTGGTGGTAAAATAACTGAATGTGAAAAGTGAATAAATGCAGTTATTTCAAGATCTGTTTAGTCAATAGAAACTACCCTCTCTCTCATGCATAGTAAGCTCGCGTATCGCGACCGGACACCATATAATGTAACAATTTCAAACATTCTCTTCTAGGTCTTATCTGTAGACAGAATCAAGGAGTTATGCAGATATTCTCATCTGTGAAAGCCCATTCCTTGTAAGATCACGAAATCAAACAATGAAATTCATATGATACCAGATTCTCTTGACACTGAATTGTGTGGTGTACAGACGTTCGTTTCACTATGAGAAACTATCAGAGGAACTGTGTTGTCACTAATCAGAATTCTGATTTGAAACTTTTTCTACTTTACCTCTGGTGTTCTAGTGTCCTAGACTTGACTAATTTCACATCCTACCTTGAACTAACACAAGCTAAGCTCTTATTAATTCGCTATCCAAAAAGCTTCTGTCTGTTGTCTGTCATGAACCTAACGAGAAGTCAACAGCTAACTTATTTCATTACTGTTTTATATATTACTGTGCTCAACTTTAATGACAGTACACAGTGAAAAGTCACCACTACACATAGACAAATTAAAATTGTGTTAGGATATTCATCAGATATCCTAAAGAAATTATTTTTTAAGTCTAATTCTATTGGTCAATATTTACGGTCGTCCTAAACTATTAAGTTCATACACTTTTTACTATTGTTTCCTATTGGGGTTAGTATTTACGCTCGACCTAACCGTATAATTATGGATTGTCTGTAAATTTTGTTTCTCCCCTCCTCTTCTGTACAAAACATTGATTTCCTGTGTGCTTGTAGAATATACTTTCTACGCCATATCAAGACTTTTTGATACCGTTAGTGGGGGTTTTGGGACTCTCGGATTAGAGTAGCCTATCGTGTCAATGGATCATTTGTCTTAGTTCTCGTTTACCGACTAAGGTGAACTCGTAATAGCATTCAAGCGTATCATTTGATGACCATAGCAAATTGCATGTTGAGATCATCAATCAATCATGATTAGACCACCAACATTAGAAACTTGGAAGTACTGGACGGCTGTTTCGTCTTGGTATGACACTCATCAGCAGTGAATAGTACATTCTGTAAATAGTAGATCGACAAAGTCGTTTGACAAAATGTCTCAGCTAATTAAACACTTATAATAAACTAAATATGCAGACAGATAAATAAAGGAAAGTCGTAATTCTATCGCTTAATAATTATTATTAACCCAGGTTGATTTTATGAA